TATTCTAGTTGCTTTGCAAGGGCTGCTATTTGGTTCATTAGTGGACTGCTGCTCTTTACTTAGTGGACTGAGTGGTCTCTTTCCTCTTGATGTCGTAAGAGTCAGCAGTGTGCCACTGAAAGCTAGAAGATATCATCTTATCTATTAGCTTGTATGCATCATCTGGATCTTTTCTTATGAGGGACCCTCCTGCTGCGGCATCAATCATAGCCTTGGTAGTGATTAATAGGCCACTGTAAAAGATTTGCACCTGTCTCCACGTCAAAAAATCATAATGAGGACATCTCCTCAAAAGCTCTCTAAATCGCTTTGATGTGTTTCTTGAGAAGATCTTCAAGAAAGACCAAAGAATTGGATCTCTAAGAGGTAGACCAGCCATGATATATGTAACATCCTATGCTTTGTGTCATGCCTGTAGTATATTAATGAGAAAAATCTGTAGTACTTTGTGAGCAGAAAGAAACTGTGTATGTACAGTAACCCCTAATGTCAATAGTGACATAACGCTGATGTCATCGGTGACATCATCGCTTACATCACGCTGACATCATCGCTTATGTCATTGGTGATCTCACGCTGATATCATCGCTTACATCATCAGTGACATCATGCTAATGTCATCGCTTGCATCATGCTGACATCATCGCTTACATCACGTTGACGCTGACATTATCGCTGACATCATTGCTTACATCATGATTGACGCTGACATCATCGCTTACATCACATTGACGCTGACATCTTCAAAAAAAATTTCTATAAATAGGGGGGGCTCCACATGAAATTTTCATTCCCACCCAAGGTTCTCGAAGGTTCTAAGGTCATATCTCGCCATTTTCTCCTATACTAAACCTCCTAAACTTAGATTTCTCTTCAGATATGTGATTCTACGTCTGTTCTAAAGGATTTCAAGTAAGTTTCTCTAAGTTTGAAGTTAGATTTACCGTTCGTTTCTCTTCTTCTTCTTTTTCTTATAGATGTTCATGATGTTCTTAGGAAAACCTCCGTTCTAGAGTTAAATCTTCGGTTAAATCCTTGTAAAAGCTCTGTTTTGAGGTAAGAGGGGCTCTACTTTATCATTTTGTTATGCTTATTAATCGTATTCCCATAGATCTTGTCATGTATGTGATTATATGTGGAATAATCCTTGTTTTATGAAAAATAATCGGTGAAAAGTGAGAATAATTGATTGTTTATGTGATTTTATGATGAGTACATGGTGAAATTGTGATATTATGTTCAAATAGGGCATGATAAGGTATATTGAGGATGGTTGATATGATTTTATGATTTTATGATTTTGTGATATAAAATATACAAAGAGATGGATGTTTCATGTTTGAATATATTGTGTTTTATGTAAAAATGATGTGTATTGTGAATATGCCATGATTTGATGTATATGATGAAAAGTATGTGGAAATATAATGAAAAATATGTGTAAACATGATAAATGGCATATGTGAACATGTGAATATGCTCAAAAGAGTATGAGATGGAAAAAGATATGATGTAAATAGTTACAGAGATACACTGGGGAAGTGGAAGATGGAGACGATATGGGATATCTTGGGGAAATGCAGGGTGGTGAGTGACTTTCGGGATTGTGCACAGAATATTGTGTTCGAATGCACCACATGGCCACACACTCATTTCTCGACTTGACTCCTGACCATTACCTTTGCTAAGGGGCCGTCTATTGCATGCGTTGTATCCGTATTGCATTGGGCCATCCGGCGACTATTTACATGGATGTGTAAGACCTCGGGATAGAGGCATCGGATAACTGTGGCCACAGGGCGCGGTAAGCGCAGATAAAAGTAAAAAAAAATTGTGAATCTGTAATACACGTTGAGATGAGAATATGCTTTATATGACCCTGTGATATGTAATGCCATGATGTTTTCTTTAATCGTGATAAGATGTGTTTTGTGAAGAATGTATGTGTTACGTATGAGTGGTAGGGTAGAGACTCACCCTTACACAACATTTTTTCAGGAAACCAGGACAAATAGTACCAGGCTCACAGTGCATGGATGGATGAGAACTGCTATAGGACTTAGTTATTTTGAGTTATGTAATGAATATTTTCAATTCTATAGCATTCTTTTGAAACAGTTGTAAAACTACTCTTCTTTTTATTGCTGATGAAAATTCTAGAATCTTTGTTTTTCTAAAGTACTTATAAATTAATAAAATTTTAATCTATGAACTTTATATCATTTCCATGTCTGTTTCTATTTAGAGAGTTTTTGAAAGAAAAAAAAAATTTACTCTACTATTTAACTTTTTATGAAAATTTATTATATATTGAGAAAAGAAATATAAGGCGTTACAATATATGCTTCAAATCACGTATTCCAACAAAAAGAAAGAAGAAAATTGCAAATGGAAAGCAAGAAGGAGGAAGTATTGATGTAGCACCACTTCAAAGGATTGAAGATAAGCCAAGTTTGCACTCACCACATGGAAGAATCCATGATAAGAGTAATGTTATGAATTTTCTAAAGAGAAAATTCAGAGAAAAACTCAACTCACAAGGGAGGAGAAAAATGCACAATGCATCAAATGAATTTAAAATTTGAAAATTACAAAGGAGCTTAGCCTATATATAGGCAAGCCCAAAGAAAAATACAAAAGACTCCACCCCAAAGGCCAATAGGCTTCCCGAGCCCATCGCCAAAATACAAGGCGCAAAACAAATTATTCTAGATATGAACAAAGCCAGTACAAAAAGTGTATACTTGTGTGATCCTTTGGCTACTAGGATCACATCATCCCCTCCTCCTTAGAAAGAATTCGACCACGAATTTGAAGCGTCCTTAAGTTGCTCATGCAAGCCATCAAGTTTTCCTACAAAGCAAAGGATACAAAAGAAGTCTCAGAAAATGTGAAGGATAGGGATCAGGTGCTTATTTATGAAAGAACCCACCTGGATCAAAGATTAGCCTCTTGACCCTTAGCTTTTTATTACAAAAGTTCATACAAAAATTAATGAGATATGCCTATAAGAAAGAACATACAAAACTATGAAAGATATGGTTATTAATATATGAAGTGTAATGTCTTAACAAAGTTGAACTATAAGAAATGTGAGATACATGCATTCTAATTTGTGGTATGAACTCATTATTATGCACAAGATTATGTGTTAATATGATTGCATTATTACCTAATGAGAAGACACTTAACCTTTTGCTTATCATGCCTAAGGAATTGGACCTCATATGTAGCATGTAATTACTAAATAGAAATCGAAGCGAGTTCATACACAACATATGTGTGCCTAAATGCCTAGACTCAAAAATTATAACAAATGATCTATATCTATACTACCACAATTCAAAAGAACATAAGAAAATCCTAATTCTACCAAGTCCTATATGTACAAGGAATGAGGCACATGAAATCTTAAGGGGGCAAAAGACACTTAGTGTCCAATCTACTTCTTGTGTTATCCGCCAATTAGGTGATAGTTCTTTAAGAATTTCCTTTGGGAACACAACTTCAAAATTTCGTAGAAGAGCCTTGACTCTTCTATCCAAAGAAGGAGTAGTGACAAGATTCAAAGGACTCATATGGTATTCTAGGTATAATGGTTGGCCACTATAAAGGATTTTTTTCACATCTTGCATCTTGGTAAGAAATCCCTCCTTCTTGAGATTTAAGGCAAGCTCATAGTTGCCCTCATCTCCTCTAACTCTTTTTTTTTTTATCTTTTTCCTTTTTATTAGGCTTTTGGGCCTTAGACAAGCCCATGGCCTCTTTTTCTTGATCTCTTTTAATTTTCATTTTCAATTGATCCTCTATTACTTGTTTGGGTGTTAGAGGAATCAATGTGATTTTTTTTGAATTATGAATGAAAGAGATCTTGTTGGAGGTTCCACTATGAGTGACATTCTTATCAAATTGCCAAGGCCTCCCTAAGAGTAAATGGCCCACCTCCATGGGTACCACATCACATATAACTTCATCTTTATAATTGCCTATGGTAAACCCTATGGTGACTTGTTTATTGATTATCATCTCACCCTCTTCATTTAGCCATTGAAGCTTGTATGGCTTAGGGTGTAGGGTGGTTTCAAGACCTAATTTTTTAACTAATCTCATGCTTGCACAATTAGTGCAACTACCCCTATCCATAATTAGTGGACATAATTTTCCTTTGATATAGCACATAGTGTGGAAAATATTTTCTCTTTGAGACTTATCTAAATCTTTTACTTGACTTCCCAAGAGTCTCCTAATAATTAAAAGGTCCCCCTCACTTCCACATGTTTCTTCACCACTAGATTGCCTCTCACTATCACTAGAGGATGATAAAGAAATTTCTTCTTCTTGACTAGAATATTGGTCCTTTCCCTTACAAATCATAACCTTCTTAGTTGGGCATTGAGAAACAATATGTCCCCTACCTAGACACTTAAAACACTTAATTGATGAAGTCTTGGTACTTCCCTTACTTGTGCTAGGCACAGAGCTTTGAGTTTTAGGGAATTTCTCATTTCTCTTTCTAACGTTTGAGGTGGATTTTATTTCTTGATTTTTCTCTTTATAACTATCCTCCTTACTTTTTCCATCTCTCCACTTAGAGGAACTAGGGTAATTTGAATTTAATTTCTTGTAAGATCCTTTTCTTTTGAGTTGTTGTTCTACCCTCATTGCTTGTTGTACTACATCATCTAAGTCCACATAAGGTAGTAATTCCATAACATCTCCTATTTCCCTATTCAATCCACCTAGAAATCTTGCTATGGTGGCTCTTTCTTCCTCATGTATGTTGGCTCTCATAAGGTAAATTTCCATTTCTTTCCTATATTCTTCAACACTCTTGGTACCTTGGTGAGCCTTTGAAGTTTACTCAAGAGTTCCCTTCCATAGTAAGAGGGCACATGCCTCTTCCTAAGTAAGGCTTTAAATTCTTCCCAATCTTCAATGGGAGGCACTCCTATTACCCTTCTATCATTAGTTTGATTTGTCCACCAAAATAGGGCATAATTTTAGAACCCAAAGATAGCTATTTTTACCTTTTTTTCTTCCTCGATGTTGTGGCAAATGAAGAGTTGTTCAACCTTCATTTCCCATTCCAAGTAGGCCTCTATGTCATCCTTTCCATGGAAGTGAGGTACTTCCAATTTAACTTCTTTCAACTTACTATCCCTTCTATGTCTAGTGTTTCTATCTTCTTCTTCCCTATACCTATCTTCATCTCTCACTCTATGTCTATTTCTATCACCATCTCTATCTCTATGTCTATCTCTATCATCTTCCCTTCTTCTTCTATCATATCTTTCCCTTCTAGGGCTTCTCTCACTATTATCACTATACTCACTAGCCCTATCCCTTCCTCTCCTTCTTTCTTCCCTATCTCTTCTATTTTGGAGATTTGTTAATTCTCTCCTCATAGCTTCCATTTGAACCATCAAATTAGCTACACAGGGTGGATGGGGAGTCTCATCCCCATTCCTAGGGCTCCTATCACTTTTATAGCTCCTATTACTACTATCACTTTCCATTTTTTGTTTACTTTATTTTTACGAAATTACAACACTAAAAGCGAACTCTAATGATTATCTTAGACCCTAACTCAAAATTTAAAACAAATAAAGATAGGAAAACAATTTAAGTGCTACCAATGCTAGTCAGATCTAGACTCAAAGAAAACCAAGAAAGTTAGAATGAGGGAGAGAAGGGGTGAAGTCTTTGTTCACCTCCCAAAAGGTCCTAAGATGCGATGCAAGAAAGGAGGGAGACAAGGATTGGATTCTTTGTCCAATTCCTGAAATTGATGCAAATGATCCTAAAAACGTGAAAAGCTTTTTAAACCACACACAAAGGCCTAATCTAGCATATACTAGTTGTGTGAAAAATTTAAACTAAGGACTATGCGCAAATTACCCTATAACTACTTAAAATCAAAGTCCAATGTCCTTTTGCAAAAAAACGTTCAACCTACTACAAATAAACTACTTGTAAGAATTGTAAACTCCCAACCCTAAAGCAAATATAATTCTCCAAATACAAGGAGGTAAAGAAATTAAAACAGCCCCTTCACCCCAAGTTACAAGCTTTACTCCAAGGAAAATTACAAGTCTTCAAGTCCAATTTTCTCCAAGTAGGATCAAGCTCACAAAGAACAAACAAAGTTAGTATAATCACAATTAACAAAGATGTGTGTGTGGTGTTTGGGTGCTCTGCTCTCACTCAAGTGTTTACACTCAAGACTTGAGTTCTCAATGAAATGCCCAAAGAAAAGAATCCACAACCATTCAACTCTTATTCATCTTCTATTATGCTACCATGGGTGAGTAACACTTAATGCAATCAACAATCCAATTAAATGGCAGCAAAGGTATGTAGACAAAACTCACAGAAACCAATGAAGACAAACAAGAAAAGGTTTATTCACAATGAATGCTAAAAACTCAAAGAGAGTTAAATGTGACAAACATGGAATTCAATAATGACAAACTAGAATTAAGGCACCTTTACAAGTTAGCACTCAAAAGGAAATCCTAGAACTTTAGAATGCAACTCACTTGGTCAAATTTAACACATAATCAACCTTGCAATTTAATGATTCTCAAACTATGAACATGTTATCATGCAAAAACATGCATGAATTACACAACATATAATTCTCGGTTTTAACTTTCTCTTTCCTTTTCTTTTTCTCCTTTGTATGCTTTTACTCTTCCTTTCCTCATTTTTTTATACTATCTCCTTTCAATATTTTGGTATCTTTCTTTTCTTTTCCTTTTCACAACCACCCAATTATAGCACTAATGTTTTTGTACTAATTTCAACAAGGTACCAAAAACAGCTAACAATGAATTACACCAAAATTGAATTAATTTATTGTTGTATATGGATTTAATTTAGACAAAAATAAACAAGGAACAAAACATACAACCAATAACACTTGCTAGAACAAAATTAAGACTCTAAGAAAACATCAAATCTAACATTCTAAAGCACAAAAATGAATTAAATCAAGCTAGATGAGTTTTAGCCAAGACAAGAAGCAATGGATGGATCTATTGTTCTAGAAAATTCTAGCACATCACAATTCACATTTACACAATGTAATAACACTAAACAACTGTCCAAAGTGTTAGAATATGAATCAAATAACTAGAATTGCAAGGAAAACAGCCAAGAACACAAGAACAATCATGCGTAATTTTGGCACTAAGAACTAGCAACCATAATTTTGAAATTCAACAAACTAAAAACTGAATTTCAAGAAAGTGAACCGATTAAAAGCTATAAAAAACACTAAGAAACAGAATGATCAAGAAAAATTTGGTGAAAACATAAGATTTTCGTTGTTTTGGAAGTTTGAATCAAGAATGAACCAATTTGGATCCAAAAATTGAAAGTTGGCTGATCTTGAATTTTAGCACATGGTTTTGTGCAGAAATTGATGTAGATGAAGGATCTACAATCAGATTTTAAAAATTCCTTATGGATCAAAGTATATCTAAGTTTTATTTCAAACCAAATTTTGGCAGGAAAAATGAAATGTCATGGATCCGAAAATTGAAGGCAGATTTGTGTAGAAGAGAATGTGAGAATGAAGAATTCACAATTAGATTTCAAAAAAGAAAGGTATAAAGTGCAGATCTAGAAATGAAGTTTGAAAGATTTTTGGCGGGAAAAAATTTCAAAAACGGATCATCACCAAAGGAATACGAATTTAGAGAGATTGAAGTGTGTAGATGAAGAATTCAAGGTCAAATTGCATAGATCAAAAGTGAAACAATTCATATTTTCATGTAACATACCTCTTGTGCCATGCTTTGATACCAAATGATGTGTTTCTTGAGAAGATCTTCAAAAAAGACCAAAGAATTAGATCTCCAAGAGGTAGACCAACCATGATATATGCTTCAAATCACGTATGCCAACAAAAAGAAAGAAGAAAATTGCAAATGGAAAGCAAGAAGGAGGAAGTATTGATGTAGCACCACTTCAAAGGATTGAAGATAAGCCAAGTTTGCACTCACCACATGGAAGAATCCATGATAAGAGTAGTGTTATGAATTTTCTAAAGAGAAAATTCAAAGAAAAACTCAACTCACAAGGGAGGAGAAAAATGCATAATGCATCAAATGAATCTAAAATCTAAAAATTACAAAGGAGCTTAGCCTATATATAGGCAAGTTAACTCAAGGCCCAAAATGGTCTCTAATGGGCCTTAAAACAAGGAAATGAAAGGGGACGGGGATTTGGGCTGAATACATGCCCTGAAACATAGCCCAATATATGCCCAAAGAAAAATATAAAAGACTCCACCCCAAAGCCCAATGAGCTTCCTGAGCCCATGGCCAAAATACAAGGCCCAAAACAAACTATTCTAGATATGAACAAAGCAAGTACAAAAAGTGTATACTTGTGTGATCTTCTGGCTTCTAGGATCACATCAAATCGCTCCCATGCCTCGAATAAGGATTTTGCTTCATATTGTTGGAAGCAACATATCTCCGTCATAAGCTTAGAGGACCTTGATGGGGGAAAGTACTTTCCCAAGAATTATTGAGTGAGATCCTCCCAAGTTGTGATGGAATTGGCTAGGAGTAAGGCAAACCAAGCATTCACCTTTTCAGATACCGAGAATGAGAAAAGACGGAGTCGAATAGTATCGTTGGAGACTCCATTGTATTTTATGGTATATGTCAATCGAAGGAACTTTGTGAGATATAAATTGGGATCTTCATTAGGCATGCCTCCAAACTCTATGGAGTTCTGGACCATGGTTATAAGTGCTGGTTTCAATTCAAAATTGTTTGCCTCCACATTAGGGGCCGCGATGCTTCCAGTGGTGCCTCTAGCAATAGGTGTCATGTAATCTTGAATTGATCTTCTTCGCTCTGCCATTCTTTGCACTCTCACTTCTTGTTTTTTTGCTACAAACTATTCTTTCAATCTTTGGATCAAATAAATAAGCAAAGCACTTAGAACGAGTGAGCATACATTAAAAGAAATTGTGAAATAATAAAATAATAAAAAAATTAAAATAAAATAAAACACAAATTGCTCAAATCAATTAAATTTGAGATTTTCTTAATATTGAAAAAGCAATCCCTAGCAACAACGCTAAAAACTTGTTCGGAAGGCAAGTGTACCCATCGAGAAGTAACAAAGGGTTCTTAAATTAAGTTCCTGAAATATCGTCCCACAAGGATTGTTTTTCAATTACTAAGAATTTCCTAAGTCAATTGTTTAAACTTCAAAGATATGAGATTAATTAAAATAAGAATTGATAAAATTAATTATAAACTAAGAACAAGGAATACAATGCACGTTCTGGTTAAACTTATTGGGGAGGAACTTAGGGCATATGGGTTTTCTCATTTAATCCTTTATGTTATTTTTCTATTTAACTCTAAATCCGATTTCCTTGTAATTAGCAATCATTCATACGAATACTATTAATACCCAATGGTCATGCAATATTAATATTTTTTTCTCTAAATTAACATCTGAATAGTCATGCAAGACATCAATTTAAGATAGTTTAAGGAATGTATGAACTTGTTAATTTAATAACGATTAGAAGAGAAAGATTGGTTAAGTCCACCTAATCCTTTGTCTCGTTTTACCCTATAGATCTATTAATTAACCGAGATACGGTCGTCTGACGATATAATTAATTAGAATTAAGAAAGAAGAACAATAGGATAAAATCTAATAACAAAACAGAAATCAAATTTAAATTTTGACATCAAAATTCCATAAATTCATGAACGATAGTTCCCATAGCCCTAACTATGGACTTAGTTACTCATGTTAAAGAAAAGAACTAAAACAATCATAAATAAAGCTATAAAGAAAAATAAACTAGAATGAGATGAGTTTCCTATCTTCATGTACGATCGCTTGAAGCTCCAAGTCTCGCCAAAAATATGCCAAAGATCTCGTGCAAGAGAAAGGAGATGAGAAGTGTCAAAGACTAAGTGTCAAAAACGGTCTCCCTTTACGATGCCTAAGATATCCCTTTTAATAGGGTTTGAAAACCCTAAAGACTCTTCATAATTGGGCTTCCCGCAGATGAGGAAGGCCGTGCAAGGCCTTGAGCACGACCGTTCATGAGCTCGAAGCACCCCGTGCTTGTTGGAAGGGTCTGGGCGTGCTGATTGCTGTGAAACTCTAATCTTCTATCAATTTAGGCCCAAAAATGCACCCAAAGTATACTTATAGCCTCTTTATACCAAACTGCACAATTAATATATAAATAACTGTAAAACCCAAATAAAATAAAGGTCAAATATGAATATATGAGCTGTAAAATAGGGCCTAATTATAGAATTATCACACTCCTAGTGCATTGTGATCACAAATATACAATGCCTCTATCAGTTCTTCAGGTCTTACACAACTAGGTAAATAGTTGTCGATTAGCCTATGCATACGGATACAGCGTATACAATAACAAGCCCCTTAGCAAAGGTATAGTCAGGAGTCTAGTCAGGAAATGAGTATGAGGCCATGTGGCGCATTCGCTCTCAGAATG